TTAGTCGTCATAATGGAGTTAATCCGATTTTTTGTCGGGCTCTAACCAGGCACACTTCTGGAAGAAACAGTTCATCATAAAAAAACCTCCAAAAAGTCTAGCAGCTGTTGACCCTCTGGGTTGCACTATTCGTAATTTCCCTACTTACAGTCCACCATTGTCTCTCCTCAACACGGTATTGTGGATTTTTGGAAGAATACTTGGTTCTAGAGGTATCCACATACATCGCATCTACGTCCTCATTGGGATTTTCGTGTGCAATCCTTTTTGAAAGTCGACACACTTCCGATCTTGATTACCTTGTTAATGTATCCTAATGACCATAAATCCCAAGGTGTTGGATTTATCGGGCCTTGTTAACGATAAATCCAACACGTCCAGATAGCCCCATTGTTAGAATAAGTTGTCGGATTTAAGGATTACAGTGTCCTACTCGTCTCTTAAGGCCTTAGATCCAGCATGACTTTAGTTTCTCTTCTTCAAGCTCGTCATCAGTCCTCAAGGTGCGTGCGCAAAATGTAACCAGGTCGACAATCAAAGGAAGCAACCGAACCTCGTTGTAGATTCATAGTACCTCCACGCCGCCGTCTCCTTGTACCGTTCTTCATGCGGGTATAATTGCCTTGGCAGGCGGGTGGCAACCTTTTTTTTAAATTATTGATTTGTTATCAGGAGTATGCAGCTGCCATCTTCTGTCTTAATTTTCCTCTGTCACCTCTTACAACACCCACGGGATGAATAAGGTTAGTGGATTCTCTTACGCCCCTACTACATAATATGATATGAATTATTTACAGGATTTTTTTAAATCTTATTAATTGTAACTAGTTTTTACGGATTTTATCGCGTATATTAACTTATTTTATATTCCCGTTTTGAGCACTTTACAGCACCCATGGTCACTTCTGATGTGTTCGACATCCAAGTCTTCAGATAAAATTATTAATTTTTGCTCCGATACTGCGTACGAGCACTTGTAGTATCTTGAAGTCTTGCAGTTGTATGCTTGGGTTGGAATTTAATTTTATCAATTTTAAGATCCCCAGCAGATGGCACCCAGCCATTTCCTCCATTAAAATTAGAATGTTTCTTGATTTCAATAGCCTAGCGCGAATCACCCTTGGAAAGAATGGGTATTCTTTAGCGAGGATTTGTGGTCTATCAAATCTGTTTTAGTGACGGGGGCGATCCTCTACGTGTTTGCAGACTGCTGACCTCCCGGAGTGTCGATTCTTCACGTTCGAAGTTCAATCTGGAGGTAGCCGTGGTTAACTATGACACTGGGACGTCGAACACCTCAGTCCCCCCCTCCCCCGTGACCATGGGTCCTGTAATGTGCTCGAAACGTCGGGAATATATAATAAGTTAATATACGCGATAACATCGATAAAAACTAGTTTTATTTAAATGGGTGGTGTTCGGATAAATAAATAAACACATCAACGGAATCAAGGGATATATCATCAAATACCTAAAAATCTATGAAGAATTTTCCGATATAGTAAATAGAAGAATGATTAGTTATTTTAAGTTTTTAATAAAAGATAAAAACATTTCGTATTTTTTTTGTTTTAGCCACGAAAGCCACCGATCGCGATTAACACGTCGCAATGCGTAGCGTAGCGACACGTAGCGGTCTTCAAAGATGAAGACCAACTTCATATAACTTCCTTCGCACGGATTGGTCGCTTACCAGCAGCTGGTGGTTTATTTTTTTATAGTAGAGGGGGCAAACGAGCATACGGTTCACCTGATGTTAAGTGACTACCGCCACCCATGAACAACCGCAATACCAGAGGAATTGCAGGTGCGTTGCCGTCGTCCTCCCTGTGCAGAGATGGAAGAGATAGCTGACAGAAATTCCCCTGGACAGCCTTGGCGAGAGACCAGAATGCACGGGCTCCAGAAAGAAGGCGAACTAGTTTCTCGCTAATTCTGCCTATGTGCTTTGACTTTGCCTTAGCAATAACTCTTTTGAAGGACCTGGAGGCGGAATTATACTTTTATTTAGAGCGCTGGTGTTTACATCCCGGAACGTTGATGCGTCAGCCCAGGCTTGATAGCACTCCTGCTTTTAACATGGTACTATTTTACAGGAGCGGCCAAACTATGGTCGGAGATTTGCCTCCGATGGGCACCACAGAGGAAGGAATAAAAAGTTCCATATCTTGAAGTACCATATCAGCGACAGAATCAGCAACAACGTTGGGATCGTCCGGCAAGAAGCAAACTCGCACCCAATCGGCTAACCTATAGTGCCAAACACGGCAGCAGCCTGCAGAATGCAACCGCGATTTCAGCGTGAGTGGCACCACACTCCGGACAAGACAATGGTCCGAGGAGCCTAAAGGGGCGTCGACAGAAATCTGATATCCGTCCGGATGAGAAGTCAGCAGAAGGTCCAACAGAGAAGGTGCATGATCCTCCACATCTGGAATCCGCGTAGGCGGAGTAACCAATTTTGTCAGACCATATGCCAAGGTAAAATCATGAACATATCTCCCTGCATGATCGGTTAAACGTGAAACGTTAAAATCGCCGAGGATCACAATCTCTGCGGAGGGGATCTGCTGTAGCAACGAATCTGTAGCCATTTGGACGTAGTCGAAGAGTCGGTCTGTTTCGGCATTACCGCTATGGGACCTACAGAGGCACTCGTAGGCGCGCGGATGGCCGACTCTGTCTACGCGTAGCCGAAGGATGGACAGGTCCGAACCTTCTAGACTGCCGAAACGTCGAGAACAGGTGTCCTCTCTGACGTAAACGCAAACTCCAGCCCGAGGCACAAAAGAGTGTTCCAGTTTGTACCGCGGGTAGAAGAGATACGAGGAATGAGGCCGGAGAGGATACCTGCGTCTCAGAAAGAGCAGAGCCGTCCTTGTCGTCTCGATATGGTAGTGGACGGCGTTTAGGTTAGAGTGAAGTCCCCTGATATTGCAGAAATTCACGGATAGCGTGGCAGGGGTCGCCTTGGTCTTGTTGCTCCGTTTGCCCCGAGCAGTTATTGTCCTGAGCGGAATTTTGCCTCCCCCCCCCAGAATACGCGGGGCGGCCTGAGCACCCACGCTCAGGAAGAGTAGGGAAGTTTGGGCGTGGGTGCTCAGCAAGGGATTCTCCAGGGGTGCTGGCACCCTCCTGCGGTAGTCTAACATTTAATTCCGCTACCATGTTGATGGAGGGGGGGGGGATTGGGCCTCCAGCCACCTGCACTCATCAAACGAAACGCGGAAGCTGAGCTTCCACTTCACGCCGGTATTCTGTAAGCTCGTGGTACCACACCGGTTTCAGCCGTCCCATACGAACAACAGAAAAGCTGCCGCGTGGCTCTACCTCTACCACAGTTAAAACCTAAAAAAGTCCTGAAGCCTTTGTAGTAGATGCATCGCTGTGATATTGAGTTATCTTCTGGCAGTCATTTAGAGAAATCTATCCTGTCTTTGCGTAGTAACACGATATGTTCCCTCGTGCCGTTCAGCCACATCCCCAGTACTGCGATAACGTGACCTCAACCTTGATATCACGTTTTGGCTGGTGTGTAGGGCCTCAACAACAACGCGTTGAATAGCACCATAACATTTCATTAAAGCTCACACGGCGCGTTAAATTAAAAAAGAAAAACAATCTAATCCCTTTTTATTAATTAATATCAGTAGAACAATTAATTTTCCCTTGACGTAACGAATTACTAACAATTTTGCCACCGTATTTTTTTTTAATTTATACTATAGTCGTAAATGATATAGGATTAAGGCATCCCTAGATTCTGTTAATGTGTGTAAATATACGAGTATAATAAGAAACCAGAACGGTTTATTTTTTAATTTTTTTTTTTTTTTTTTTTGTAATTATGCCTCAGGTTATTTATGGTTGAGGTCAGGAGCGACGGGCAACGGCATTAAAGATGCAGGACATCTGATACTCGATAGTCAATCCGCTTTGCAGTCACGAACATTAAGGAAAATCCTTCATACAACGGCAGAGTATTTTTATGCAGCTATGTCCGTTCCATTGCGACCGACTGTAGCATAACCGGTTCAGCACACACTAATTGTGCGTAGAACGGAATTGTCCCTTTATTAAATAATTTACCTACAACACGATCACAATATCTCTGCAACTCGCTGGAATTCGATGCCTCGCTCGCGCCTCCTTCACCACGCCGCGCTCGCCACGTTCGCGTCAGTATGGTTAGCATCTAGTTGTTTATAGTATTAATGATGACTAGTGTATTACTAGTTATTATCACTATACATAATTTATAATTAATAATTGCATTTTTATCATCATCATCATTGTCACTTTGTCGCTAAATAATAAATAATTTAATAATGTACGAAAATGATACTTTTTTAATTCAATACTGTTTTATTAAGTTTACATCACTAAAATCAAAACCGTATGGTTTTGTTTCCTATGTATATAGGATTTAATTTTGTATTATTTATTATTATTCATTTATTAATTAATAGAATATAAAACTTCATACATATACATCCGACAGTCGGGTAAAAAATATATTTCTAGAGATGCTTTTTGAGCACACCGTACCATGAATGTGACGTCATCAAGCGAGGTGCAGAGATAATGTGACCGAGTTGTACTTGTTTTAAGGAAATTTACAATGTATGGGAAAAAAATCAAACGCAAATACATATCGATGGCTTAATCTACAAATCGGCCAACTCCGTTTTATGCAATTTTACAGGGAGGCAAAAAAACTCAATAAAAAATAAAATATCTACAATATCCAAATTCCAAAATACCATTTGGTGCTTTTTTTATTTTGCATACGGAATTAACTGAAAGGTATAAAAAATATATTGATCACATACCTATTTAATAGATTTTTGGAGTTGGCCCATTTTAAAATTAAAAACTATAAAAAAAATGGGAGTTGTCCATTTTTCTGTGAATCCTATATTTAGATGTATTGAGTACTAGGTGAAAAAAAAAACTATATTTTTGTCATAAAATTATATGTTTTATTACTTATTAAGTCTTCATTCATGTGGGATGTTATCGTAAAAGTCCCTATAGTCCACCGGTATTGTATATTTTAATTCCTGGAGGTCTTTGAATTTACGATTTTTAATTTTAAGCCGATTTTCATGAAGATCCGGTAAGCTTTCAATCGCTGTTGGTGTGATATTTCTATCACATCGTTGTGGTAGTAACTGCCACTCATCTGTGAATCTCAGCTTAAAGTATATATTCCCTTTTTTATATTGCAGCGCACGAATGTCTGTGACCTGAACACAAACAATATAATGTTAATGAATTACACAGTAAAATGTGGTTTTTACACTTCTACTAAAATCCGTAGAAAAATACCAATAAAATTGTATAAAATAATAAGACCAAATATAAATAAAATTAAAGGCACCTTAGCGTCTCCTGTCGCTTTTCCTGGTCTAATAGATTTATAATACTGTAGGCTTCCAAAGGATTTAAAAAAATCATGCGATAAGTAAGATACGTTGTAGGGCTTAGGATGTATGCGTGCTCCTAGACAAACTCCTACATATTCAGCTGGCAGATGAATAATTTTATTTTTCAGCTTCCTCTCTATGGTGGCATGCATGGAGTCAGCCTCCATTTGGGTGTGGCCAACCTCCAAATACTTTTGCTCAATTACAATATTGTTTAACGTTGCCACATTCAGTAAAGCATTTGCCAATACCACGTTCCTATTTTGTGCTGTACATCCGTCGCTGTATAATATAATTTTAATATCCTTTTCAGGTTCTCTGTGAATGCTCGGCAGAAGTTTGTCTGTAATAAACTTGACTATTATCGTTGCAAAGTTGTCAGACGATAGCCCACCTTCAGTTTCATTCCAAAGATAGCTAAATCCATCTTTGTTTCTCAAATTGAATAAACAGAAATTGTGTGTGCATAGCTTGGTTTTATAATACAGAGATGAAACATTAGATTTAGGTGCTAGTAACACAGCTTGTGTGTCCATCGTAAATACGAGTTCTTCTGAATTTTTATCGTTTTCTTTTTCAATTCGGGCTTCATTTTTTCTGTTTATATGTTCCTTAAGTTCTGCATCAGATATATTTCCGAGTTTATGGGATAGGCATTTTTCGCACTCATCTTTTTTCGGCTTAAACAGTGATATATTTTCAATTTCTAAAGTGTTGCTGAATTTTGCTATTGACAGAGGTTTAATATTCCGCGAGGCGCGCCAGTCTTTTTCGTAGAATTTGTACAGGGCTCTTTTTGATGTCCATTCTGGTAACAAATAAAGCTTTGATGTAGTTTTGCGGCAATAGTGGGATTCCATTTTTGGTATATCGTTAAAAAACTCTTTAAGTGATTCTACCTCTTCTTCGTGGGGATTTTTTCTGGCAGATACATTTTGGTTTTCATTGTGAGAGGTATTTTCTTTAACTTTTTTCCAGTTCCAGATGGTCATTTTCGTGATACACAAAGTGTTTTGAAACATCGTTTTGCAGACTCTAACACGCTGTTCATCTTTCAAAAGCAAGTTATAAATCATTGAGCTTTTTCTCTTTGAAATAGATGGGTCTTTTCTATCTCTTGGCCGTTTTGTAGGTATCTCTTGTACAAGACTATTCACGAAAATCTTTTTTTCTCCCCAAGTCATCCCCCAAAACCTTTCATATATTACTTTTCTATCATCTTCTGTAATTTCACAGCATTTTAAAGCAGTTTTGTCATTTGTCTTACATTTGCCTCGAGGTTTAAGCACTCGTTTTTTCCCATTTCCCGTCAACCTTTTTACGCCCAGTATACTGCTTCCCCCTTTTCCTGATTAAGCTTGTTTTTGTATTCATTCCATGTTGCCTTGTTAACCTGACACCTTTTTCTCCTCTTACCTCATCTTGGTTCTTCTTCACTGTTTGAATCTGAGTGCTCAGAATAGGGTACAAGTTGTTTGATATTGTAGTCACTTTCATCGCTTAGATAGTCGTCAATGCAGGTAGCATTGTTATCATAACGTGGTGTAAGCCTGTGAAGTTGTAGCTGGTCCGGATGATTCCATGCATTCCTCAGTAACCGATGTTAACGGACGGGAACACAGAGACGAACCATAGGCTATTGGTTCCATTTCCATGATCACTTCTGTAAAAGCATCAGATGTTAATGCCCCATCAGCTAGTGGCTGCATTTCCATGACCAATTCTGTAATAGCATTAGATGTTGCCGCAACATCAACTGGTGTGTCAATTATTGACGAACTGGAAGCCAGTATAACAGGCATATTTTCAATCGATTCCTTTGTGAGAAATATTATGTCATTTTGATTGCTTCGGTTGCAAGCAGCTTCAATCATTTTTTTCGCTCTCGACATTTTCTTTCTCTATAAGTAACAATAATTCCATTAAAATTCAGTTCAATCATTTTTTACAATAATTTACATAAAAACACAAAACTGGTAACTGCCAAATCAATAACAAATTGTCACAATGAAAAATGGCCAACTCCATCATCACGCTTTTGCAGGTTATATCATGGTATTTATTTTGAGTATTCACAACAATTATACAATATTTAGATAAAGTCACTTACCGCCAACGTCATGTATTATTTTCAGGTTAAACTATCTGTTATTTACGCACAGTCACAAAAAAATAAACTCACACCTCGAACACAGTTCTTTATGGTACGCCTTCAAGTACGAAATGGCGGCTGGCACCGGAGTTAGCCACTTAAATGTGTTTGCTATTTATGTGTTGGGAGTTGTTCGATTTACGTGCATGCGATTTTTTCGGTAATTTAGAAAACTAGGAGTTGTTTAATTTTGCACACTGTAGGTGACAACCCCGCGTATTCGATGATATCAAAACATGATTTTGGTTCAAAGTGGAGTTAGCCGGTTTGCAGGTTAAGCCATCGATATATAAAATAAAAATGACCTTTAATTCAATTCATGAAGCGTGGTAACAAGGTATGTATATTTTTTAAATTATTATTTACTCTGTCGTATAATTGAAGTTACAACATTTTATTACATTATGTGGTTAAACCCTACCAAACATTAAACTAAACGGTAACTTGTATAAAATGTACAATAATAATAATAGTAGTATCAAATAGTACAATTACTATACGGACATTATTATCAGATGGGCAGCGTTTGTTGTTGCATTCATCTTTTGTATAAAAGAGTCAACTATGTGAATTATTCTAGGCCTGAAAACAAAAGAGTCTTACTATAATAATTCTTATTTATAATTTTTTATCAACTAATAATGTAATTTATTTAAATCTTAACGTGCCTAATAGAAAAAAAAATATTAACAGTTCTAAAAAAATCATATTTACTTTTTCAAAAATATCAAGCATTATACCAAGCGCTACAAAAGAATAAGTCTACTTCATATTGAATAAAAGTTATCATATTCATATTTAAGAATTCATTATCTACTTCATATTACAAAGCCAGCAATATTTTGTAGATAATTACCGTGAGTTTGCCCTGACGCGATTTTCACAAAAAAACATGTTTTAAACTCTGTTTACTGTCAAAGTATCAAAAAGCATTTGCACAGTCAAAGAACATGTTGTAATGTAATATGTTTGACAGTTTATTGTACATTACATACTTTAACTTATTATATCTTTATAACTACAGAAACAAAATGTTTGAAAACAAAGTTGTAGAAATATTGTCACGTTGAAAAATAAGTTTGAATATCTGTTGAAAATTTTTCACAGTTTTGTGAGTGCGAACGCCACCATCAACAAAACATGTTGTTTGATTTATTTTATGCGATTTGTTTCAAAATATTACTTGTTGGATGTTTATCAGTGCAAACGTACTGTACAAAGACATACGTCAAAATTTGACCATTATACTAATATCTATGACAAAAATATACTTTGAAGGCACTATTTGAGCAGGCAATAACATACGAGTATAATAATCGACTGTAGATAGTACGAGATTTAATATAAGTAAAAGGTGTCGGTAACCTTTGTCTTTGTCTTATAAACGATTCGTTGGTGGCTATACAGTCAGGAAGTAGCCGTAATGAACTCTTTTGCAAAAAGAAGAAGCACTTAGGCAAAAAACCAATTTTGAGCCTTCGTTCAAATTGAGGCGTCGATAGAAGTCAGCTGACGCAATCGGCGCGATTCGCTCGCTCCGATTGACTTGTGTGGACGTGTTCACATTGGCGCTAATAAGCGTACGTGCTGTAGCGAATATACGCGGTAGAGTGCTTGCTTGCTGTTGAAGCTTTAAATATTTTTACAAAAAGTAAAAGAAAACAAGATTTTATACGACCTCAGCCACGAAGACTATAAAAAATATTATGAAAAATGATAGGTTATGGGACGAAATTAGGGTTTGGGTCCCGGGACTTCGAGACACGAGACGTCACACGACTTTTCATAATTTTAGTTGTCTCGAGTCCCGGGACTTTCGGGTCGAGACTCGAGACGAGACAAGATTGTCGAAAATGTTATGTTACCATTATTTTTATTTTCAAATAATTGAAAGAGCCTAGCGCCATCTGTTAGTTGAATTATAAAAGGAGTTTCAATTGTTTGAAGCAACCGGAAAACGTACAAAAAGTTTGGAACTACTGTATAAAGCCTTAAACACAATCAAACCGACATCTGTTGAAAACGAGGGTGTGTGTTCTCCTTGTCCGGTGGCATTATTACAAAAATCAGAAACAAATTGTCGAACAAAGCTGTTGACGCTCTGATTTTTTTAAAAGCCTATTTTATTAAACAAGCAAAGAAGTCTAATTAATGTGTTAGTTGATTATTTGAAAGTCTGATTTATAAGTCTGTTTTATTATTTTTATTCAGATTATTTAATTATGAAACAAATCTGAATTAACAATGTTGTTATAATGACCAATAATTAGATTCTAGAATTACTACATAATAGTAATATTATTAAGAATTAGTATGATTTTTAACTAGGTTCGTTTTAAAACTATAAGATTAAACTGCTTAAAAGTGAATCTGTCTGATTAAAAGAAATGAACAATGCAATATTTAAGACTGAAATAACGTTAACGTTATTAAGATAAATTATATTTTTCTTAATAACATTAATAAATGTTGATTTTTAACAAAAATTGCCTTTTTCAATACGTTTCACCAGAAATTTACTGAATTAAAATTCTTCAAATTGACTCACTTCTATAAAAAAAAATTTACTTAAAAGTCGAAGTCCCGGGACACGAGACAGTCTACTATCAAAGTCAGTCAAAGTTAAAAATTGTCGGGAATTCCCAAACCCTAGACGCAATAGGAACAGAGTTCGACTCAAGCGGTAAGTAAATCATATTACCTATGTACTTTTTGTATTCAAACGGAGTTGCCCGCGTGAAGTTCGGTAATTATCCCACGGAAACATCATGCCGGGATAAAAACTATGCTATGAGTTAATCCAGTTTAATAGACTATGTGTGTAGCATATTTCACTAAAATCGCTCTACGCGTTCTCGAGTTACGAATGACGTAACTAACTCGACTTCTAACTATCTATAAATATGAATAAAAATTCTGTTTCTGTCTTTCCGTCTGTATGTCCAAACTAATCTCCGAAACCGTTAGACTGATTTTGACGGGATTTTCACTTGTAGATTTTGGCTGGCTTTATAAGAATAACCAGTATTATAAAATAAAAAATAAACATTGAATACATTTTATTACTGAACATGTTATCTTCAATTAAATCAAATTAAATTCTATTATTATTGATTCTATTGTTGTGGAACTACCGTACAAAATTATCCCTTATTTCAAATGCACTATTCGTACTTCTGGTATCCCCTTTCTATCAATTCCAATGCATGGGTCACAGAGTCAATTTCTGTCAAAGTAACGTAGTCTTGTAGTTTTTTTGTTCTTAGAAAGTTGTGTAGAATGCAAGTAGCTAAATCAATCAATTTTGCGGTTTAAACATTAACCTCCAAGGGACTTCTTTAAATCAGTAATTTCTTTGTCAAGATTCCAAACATGTTTTCTATCCGTCTCGCGCGGCAGAGGCGGTAATTGTAGCTATCCTTCTCTCTATCACCACGTAAGACTGTATGGGAACGGTCCATTAGATATGGCTTTAAGGCAAAAGCCTCATCATCAATCAAAACGTGTGGAGTGACAGAATTTGTCCTCGTAGCTTTTTTGCGGGAAGCAAGTTCATCGTATTGTCTTCAAACCAACTCTCCATCAATGAGTTTTTTTAAAATTCCGGCGTTACTGTTCTTGCCGTACCCACTAATGTCGACATATAAATTTATATTCAGCGTCAGCTATTGCCATCTAAACTGGAGTCTGCAGTCTGTGAACACGTACAGGATCGCCCCCCGTCACTACATCAGATTTGATAGACCACAAATCCTCGCTAAAGAACACCGATTCCTTCCAAGGATGATTCGCGAGGCTATTGAAATCAAAAAACATCCTAATTTCAATAGAGAAGATGGCTGGGTGCTACCATCTGTTTGGGATCCTATAATAAATAAAATTAAATCCCAACCCAAGCATACAACTGCAAGACTCCATGATACCATAAGTTCATACTGTGTAGATCGGAACAAAAGTTAAATTTTAATCTATGGTAACCGCGGTTAACTATGACAGCTGGACGTTGAACATCTCAGTCCTTCCCGTGACCACGGGTGCTGTAAAGCTCTCGAAACGTCGGGTAATTATCAAGTTAAATATACGCGATAAATTCCGTAAAAACTAGTATTATTTCAAAATGGAAAACTTTTTTAAATGACAGAAATAGAGCCTGTATTTTGTGGACATTCTATATTTAAGAGCTTCCCGTCAATAGCACACCAGAAACGACCTGTGGAACCGAAGAAATACACCACGGTATTCCCAGGTTTCCGCACGCTGTTCGACAAACCGAGCACCAAACCCAATGGTCGGTTGACGTATGGGCAGATTTATTTAAAGATTTAGTTCGGTAAGCTATTTCATACCTATATTTTTTTTAAATAACTAAGTACTGATCTGATCTGAATAGGTACATAACAGAATACATCAGAATAACAAACATACCTACACGATAGATAATTTAAGTAAATTTTTCATAAGCGGGGAATCGAACCAGCTATTTGGTTTATTTAACCTGTAAATTCGAATTAAAATGGCTAGGTGAAGACTAGCACAGTGGCAAAATGGTAGGTTAAGCAGATAAGTTAGGTATTTGGACAAGTGTTGTTAATTATTAGGTATTGGTACGATCGCGGGCGGTACATGAGTAGATAATTCCGTTTATCTGCACAACATATGGCTGCGGCCGACCGTATTCAGCGTCGGGCGTACATGTTTTTAAAAAAACATCGAATTGGTGATAGACAAGTTTGACCACGTAGTCATTATATCCACTTTGGTGTGACATTAGATAGTTAAAAAAAAACTTAAGTTTGACCACCAAAATTTTACTTATTATTATTATGAACGCATCATTATTCCGAATTTTCTAATATGGATTCGATGTTGGCAGCACTGCGCAAGCGTCAGTGCAGTGACAATAAAAAAATACTACATTTCTCATGTCGGCTGGCGAGCGAGTTTCTATGTTTATAAACATTTAATTACATTTGTTTTTGTGAAACAAAATAAGATTGAAGTGAATTGTGTATAATTCATAATAACATATTAATATACGTACTCATTACAATAAAACCTCATCTTTTCGTAAGCTCACATATTTGATGGGACTGAAATAAGTAAGTAAGGTTATATTTTTATTTTGTAGTTGATATTATCATGTCAACAAGCGTAACAGTAAATTTCGTAATTTAGAATAAATACCTAGTGTTAGTAATTTTGAGATTAGTAAATAAGGTACTTTCCCTGTAACACACACAATCACACATTATTTATTTACCTATCTACATCTTAAACTACATTTTAGTTAGCTATTCATTCGTTAAATTGCAATGTATACCTAGATTTCTTAACAAATCAATACATTATCGATGACATATAAAAAATGTTTTCATTATCTTATTATTATTAGTCTGCATAATTGTTCCTTATGTTTAATGCTAAGTTTATTCAAACTTTTGATAGTAGTGACGTGGCATTTTAGATTGACAAATTTATTGATTTTAAGTAATTTATTAATATATTATATTGAAAAAACTATTTTTATTTCAGTCTGTGACAACACGACGATGGCACCTTCCAAGACGAGTGATGTATGAAGGTTTTACGATAAAATTGAAGGAAAAAATGACTCTGCAAAGTGTAGACTTTGTGAAAAATTAATAAAATCTTGTGGCAATACAAGTAATCTAATTGGTCATTTAAAAATATACATAAGGCTCCTTTTCAGGATTTTATAAAGAATGTTCTAAAAAATCCAATACTGAGAGCATAGAGAAAAATACACAATTAGTTCCCAATAACTCTGATCCACTACCATCAACGAGCTCTGCTGGTATCATAGAACCGACTAGTGACGCTGATAAAAAATATGACTCTTCAAAAGATGATGTAAGTATGTATTTCTATTCCTCCAGCACCAAAACGTCAGAAGTGTATTGTGTCAAGTTTTGAAGAAATGTACGCTTTTTCAGAGAGAGGTGATAAAACATTAAGAATAAACAACGCCCTAATATATATGATATGTAAAGACAATCAACCATTTACAATTGTTGAAAATGAAGGCTTTCGCCATTTTATTAAAGTTCTTGCGCCGCATTATAAACTTCGCAGTAAAACAACGTTGACTCGATGGGTTGATGATAAATACGCAGCATTATCAGAAGTCTTCAAAGAAAAGTTGTCAAATATTGTAAACATTACTCTAACTACTGACATGTGGTCTGAAACGATGAGCATGAGAAGTTTTTTAGGAATAACAGCACACTTCGGTGAAGGTAATGATCTTTTCTCGATCACTCTTGGAGTTTACGAGTCACATGAAAGCCACACTTCAGAACACATATCTGAAATGATGTTAAAAACTTGTGCCGAATGGGATATAGATAAGAACAAAGTTTCAGCTGTGTTCACAGACAATGCAGCAAACATGGTAAAAGCTGTCGATTTAGCTTTTGGAAAAAAACATATACCAAGTTACGCCCACATCCTTAATTTGGTAGCACAAAATGCTGTACAGCAGTGTACTAATCTGTGAAACTTGATAACCAAGCTAAAAGAAATTGTAATTTGGTTTAACAAAGCAATATAGTCAGTAACGAATTACGTAAAGCAACCCAGAAAGAAACGAAATTGATACAAGACGTTCCAACAAGATGGAACAGTACTTATTATATGATTGAGCGATTTTTGGAGTTTCGCAGCGTCCTCAATAATATAATCATTGGTCATAAAAATGCACCACCTATGCTTATTGCGTCAGAATTATCTATTCTTTCTTCGGTATTACAAGTTCTGCGACAGATCGAAGCTGCAACCAATGAAGTGTTAGGTGATAAGTACTGCACTAGCAGCAAAGTAATACCACTTATCCATTGTCTTCTTTTAAAACTTCAACCTCTTAAAGTCGAAGAGTCTGTTGCCCAAGAATTTCAGTCATTGATCCTGAAAGAGATTGACAAAATAATGGGTTTTATAGAGAGAGACCTCTTGCTGTAGCCACAATCTTGGATCCCAGGTTTAAGAAAATGCATTTCACGGACTCACTCGCTTGCTCCATGGCTGTTACAAAAATGAGCAAGGAAATGATCAAACTAGAATACTAAATGACGTCATGGAATCTGATTGTTCAGATCTTTCTGACAAAGCCGAAGATACATTTTCTCTATGGGACGATCACCACAAATTAGTCCATAAGAGTTGGAAAACGGTGAAATCTGACGATTCTATTTCTGATGAACTATCTATTTATTTACGTAGCCCAGTAGGCAGATTAAATGAGAATCCTTTAGAAATTTGGAATGATCTCAAGATTCAGCTACTTAAACTTTACACAAATGTATACAAATATTTAACCATGGCAGGATCTTCAGTTCCATCTGAACGTTTGTTTTCTAAAGCAGCACAAATCGTCAATCAACAACGAAATAGACTTAAAGGCAAACTTTTAAATAAACTATTGTTCTTGCAAAGTCTTCCAAAAGAACACTGGATATAGGACGTTAATTCTATCATATTTCTAATATTCTTTTGACAGTCAATTTTTTTTAATTTGATCTTTTGTAGAATATAATACAGATTTTTCTGATACATGGCTTTTACTTGTATTTACTTTTTACTTACTCATTATGAAAGGAGTTAATTCCATCATTTTATGAACGATTAATATCTAAACTATGATAAAATAATGGATTTAGTTCTTTTCTTAAACTTCAATTGTAAAAAATTTTACTATAAAAAGATGGCCTCTTTTGACATGGGTCACTTTCCACATTAGTTCAGTTTTATAATAAAATTTTAAAAAAAGTACTCGATGTCTAAAAAACATCGATATTTTTATCCGATACATCGAAAGGCATCGATGTATAGTTACGATGTATCGAATCAAAAAAAAAAACATCGTTATTTTTTAAAAGTGGACACCCCTAGGATAGGGTGACAAACGAGCACAGTCCACCTGATGGTAAGTGGTTGCTGTGGCCCATAGACATCTGCACGTATCCTCGATTACGAATCAAAATGCAGATGCGTTGTCACCAGTGAGGACTAAGATGGAATGCCTCGTAAGCCAACTAAACTGTGTTTAGTTGGAATCAGCATCTTTAATCAGGGCTCTAGGATTTTATTTAGACACTTGGATGAACACGAAACGCACATAACCAATAAAACCTTTCAGCTTTATAGTTTTATTATGCGGACATGTTCTTCCTTCAAACATCCCACCACATTTTTAACTTTATATAAAACTCTCATAAGATCACAGATCGAATATGCATCAGTTATATGGAGTCCAATATAGTAAATATAGTTTACAGTTGAAGCGTGTTCAATAAAAATTCTTAAAATCTACAATGTAAAAATGCTTTAGAAGTAATTCTAATGAATGTATTGAACTCTTGGATCAAAGATTGCTTTACAATATCTGGCATAACAAATTTGATTATAATGAACTCACCAATGAAATATAATTATACGTATACGTGAGCTTCATTCACGTCAAATTTTCTTTCCAAAAAAACCAAGTAAAAGAAATGCCGGTGCGCGTGCACCTTTAACTCTTTCAGCGTAGGTGGTTAGTAACGCTAACCACCTCTTTTACCTAAGATATTCTAAAAATAACGCCATATTTTTTTGCTTTTTGAATGAATATAACAGATATATCCCTAACCTCTATGGATGACCATTAGGTGTCGGTTAAATCGATTGTCGGTTATAATTACGAACTTGAGATTCCATGGGTCGCGAGCGTTTTAATTCAGGGAGATTGCGTTATTGGATTAAAAAGGTATATTTCCGTTAATCTAACGTTATTCTTATGTTAAAATATGTCTAAAGTGTTGCTGTTTACATTTGTATATATTTAGATTTGATTATATTATTATACGTAACATTACTGAAATAGTACTTGAATGTGGTGGTCAGTGTATAGGTAACCACCGTGACATAATAGGCCAATAATTTACATATAATTTGCAAGATAATTACAATTTGATTTTTGGTATTTTTATAGAATGAAGCGTGCATTTGAGATTTGGGTGGCTTTTGAATCATATTCATTTGCACGATAATAGCTTGTTTCTTTCTAGACAGGATCCCAACTTTGATGAATTGTATAAAGTTCGTCCTTTGATGGATATTATTCAAAGAAACTTCCGCGCTAGTATGATAAAATTTAAAGGACAGTTTTCTCTAAAGCTGGGCTGTAAAGTTTGGATGAAGTGTGCTGAATCTGATTACTGTCTCGATTTTCAATTATATAGGGTAAAATCGGGTAATGGCGGTCAGATGGTAATACCGGTCAGCACACTTCCAATTATGTTACGATGTTTATAAGCACGCACACATACAAAGCGGGTGGCGTGACTATTCTCCTCGCAGGAGCGCCGAACCCCGTTCAATTCCATGCATGCGTTTGGGAAGAAGGCACGTCGAGTTTTCGCGCCACTTTGTTGTAAAATTTTGCGGTCCGAAAATAAGAAGTAAGTAAATTTTACTCGATAGTTTTCAAATTTAAAGTTAGAGCTCCCGCAGACATACAATTGTAAGTTGGCCAACTATCGAACGACTAAATTGCGCACTTTTATAATTAAATCGAACAACTTTATTTGATTGGTTGCCAGCCGCAGACTTAATCGATTTAGTCCGTGACAGTGTTGCTAGCGCGGTGCGTGTGCGTGATAATGCGGAAAAAAACGCTCAATTGCTTTAATAATAAAAGAAGACGAAAAGAAAAGAGGACATTTTGGGTGCATCCCATATTAAGTGACAGATTAGATCATACTTTGCACTCTAAACTCAGATGTTACCCAGATAAATTTTTTTCATTCTATAGAATGAGTATTTCGTCTTTTGATGAGCTCGTGTATCTAATCGGGCCAGCGATAGTCAAACAGGACACAACTTTTCCGACTTGCTATCTCCGTTGAAGAGAGGCTTGGATTAACTCTCCGGTAAGTACCTGCTAGGTTAATAAAAATACAACTCGTTTCTTATTTTGTTTATTGACGTTTTTTAGGACAGGTTAGTAAAAAAATCTGTTATATTTTTTATAAATCAATTAGTTCTGATTCAGACTCGGAGAAGTTTGACCAGTATGAAATAATACCATCATGATCATGTGGAGGGGGCGGTGTTTGACTTTCTGCAGATGGACTTGAAAGTTGCATATAAGATGGTATTGTATCCTGTGGCTTTGTGTTAGAGTGCTGATGAGATTCTGTCAGATGCTGTGATAAATTTGCTTGACGTGTGGAATGGACTGAACGACTACGGTTTGGCTTGATAACTTGATCAGAAATAATACGTATGGAAGTTGATGGAGTAATGTGCCTGGAAGCTCTTGAAAATTGTGAAGTACTAGGTTGAATGATATTAAATGATGTATTTGGCAGTAATAATCTTTTTTTCTTGATGTCTTAGAATGTTTGTAAAATTCTTATACGCACTTCTAATTTTTCGTCAGAAGTCAGCTCTTTCATAAAAGGAACTAAAGATAAGCAATAATTGGTATCGTCGTCTTCATTAGACTGAAGTGCCTTTATTATTTGTTCATCTAAGTTGGGTTTTTTAATTTTCCGTTTCCGTTGCGGGTATGATGTATGTCCTGGTTTGATTCACTGTTTTCAATACTACGTTCAGTTGGTCGCGATTCCATACAAGGTATTAAAAACAACATGCGATCAAAGTAAACATATGGCCGCCGTTTTGAAGCTGCTTGTCCAGATTTTACCGACTTTTGAGCTTTCAGTTCTCTAGCGAAGCAAGTCCGCAAGTTATTCCATTTTCTTTGGATTTCATGACCTAAAACAAACAATACTTATTAAAATTTGTTATTCAAATTAATTTTATATCTTTACATAGTATAAAAGAATGTTGCCCTCTTTAGACCATACGACAAATTTTGAAGAACAATAATTAAACAATTTTCTCCTATAAAGGTTGACAAATGAAAAAAAAAATTGTACCTTCCATACAAAGTGAATTCCACAAAAAAATCCTAAAATCATTATGTACAATGCGACAAACTATATTTAATGATGAATGATTTTTTTTGCAGGTATTTGGCAACGGGGGCATATTTTTCTCATGGTGAATCTACAATAAGAGGCATATGAAATCTACTTGTGAGCAAATATGGAATGTCCTTCATTCACAATATATGCCTGAAAAAACTGAAGAAGATTGGATTAGAACTGCTCATGAATTCTATGAACGAACAAATTTTCCAAATGTTATAGGAGCGATAGATGGGAAACACATTCGAATCGTACATCCGCAAAAGTCTGGATCATCCTTTTTTAATTACAAGAAGTTTTTTTCTTGTGTTTTGATGGCTTGGACTGATGCCGACTACAAGTTTGTCCATATTGATGTGGGTGCGTACGGAAGCAGTAGTGATTCAGAGATATTTAAGTCATCACAAATGGGCAAACTATTAATTGAAAACAGACTTAATATTCCCACTGGACAACACTTGCCTTATGAAGATAACGGACCTGTAATGCCATTTTACGTTATCGGTGATGAAGCATTTGGCCTTTCAAGTCATATATTACGTCCTTACTCAAAGGAAAATTTGAACTACGCAAAACGTATATTTAACTACAGACATACTCGAGCTCGTCGATTAGTAGAATGCACGTTTGGCATTTTAGCAAATAAGTGGCGTATTTTTCATCGCCCCATAAATGTCCATATAAAGTTCGCTGTAAAGATTATAAAGGCAGCATGTATTCTACACAACTACGTTCGCTCAAAAGATGGCATAACATTTAAGGATACATTGTACGAATGTCCTTTGGACGAATATCGTCACACAAAAAATAACAGGGGATGCAATATCACAAATGGTGTAAATGTTCGACAGTATCTGACATCTTATTTTCTTCAACCTCATGGATCTGTTCCCTTTCAATATGATAAAGTATAGAATTATATACAAAGATTACAAACACAATAAAAAAAACTTAGACCAACCTTGTTCTTTTCTTTCATTCACACTGAGTTCTGCCCAATTACTTATTAAAACTTCGCAGACTTCCTCCCATAATTTTTTCTTAATATTTACATCGGAGTATTGCTTCAAGTCTTTTTTGTATAACGCTGGCCTTTTTTGCACTTCATCTATTAGCTCTTCTACTTTTTCGTTCGCAACAAGTGATCGGGTGTGAGATGTCGCACCCGTCGGCGAATGTCCAAGTCCGAGCGTAGGGAAATCACGCGCGCGCGTCGGTTCGTCTTGCATCTTGCCGTGCGACTAACCAACAAAGTTGGATAGTCTGCGAGCTTGCATTGCGTACCGTGCTAACGAGCAGTTGGCCGATAGTTGGACAACTTTTTAATTGTGCGTAATCGGAAGGGAATCTTGATTCTGATACGATCGGTGTCCAATTAATTAGTTGGACGATTTAGTTGGACAAGATGTGTGGGCTAGCATATGTCACTATACCTATTGATATGCTCTCCGATTTAGTTGGCCAACTTATAATTGTAAGTGTGCGGCCTCTCTTAATAAAAGTATTGCCTAACTATTTGTGCGCAATCGTCAAATCAATCTTTGTAGATTATTTGTGATTTACAATACTTTAATGCACAACCAGGCATATTTTCTTTAAAAATATTTTTAAATTTATAAAATGACTGCGTCTTGACCTTTCGACGATGTCACTTAGACTAAATTACAAAACTCGGAGATATATCCTATAGGACAAAAGTTACAGACGAAAACTTCGTCACTGATGTCCGGTCTATTACTATTACCTATTTAAATGTCTTTGATTATAACTTTCTTAGATGTTAAAAAAATTCATCCGAAAAAAAAAATTCGCGGTATTTTTTCCCGCGTACCGCCATAACAAAGCGCGGGATCTATCCAGCCTATTTTTTTAACATAACCACAGAAAACACTAAATATCAGTACTAATGTAATTCTTAGATGATTAATGCTCTTTATCGGCATTCTTAATGCGAGAGGCTTGGGCCACAATTCCATTGAGTGACTAAAATATCCCCTCTAAAATTTCTTCCAAAAAAATAGTATTGAGTTTAGCCACTTTATTAAACAAATTTCGTGCCTCTTTTCGAAAATTAACTTCCTCATCCACATTTCCACTAATGATATTTTCATATTATTATCATAATGTTATGATAGCTATTGTTTTTATTGGGACTGGAGACCCAAAAAACCTATATATATATATATACTATGTAGTAATATTATACAATATCCATTTCAGGCAACACCAGAGACAAAATATTCCAGAACTTGATTGACTAAGAGCAACGAGCGTTCCATTTCAGGAAATCCAAAACATGCAAGATATTATATCCATGGAAGCTGAACATACCATTCATTTATTTATTTGACCAAAATAGGCCTGGAGCGGTGACAGGAAAAGTGCACATAACAATTGAGATATTACTACTACGTATACGTAGTCTCTCTATAAAGAAGGCAACGCCTTGCATGATTTTGCGCCACGCTTTGCGGTACACTGTATCGTAACTGTTTAGTGAAGGTGCAACGCTCACACAGACAAGTCGCGGTCGCTTCGCATAAATAAGAACTTCAAAATGCCTGGTTGTGTTCTTAAAGACAGCAGTAAACACTCCAGAACATCGAAAAAAGTTACGATTTAACATTTCATCGGTAAGTAGACATTAAAACGTTTAAAACTCGTTGATTTAAAGTTTTTCGTTGTTACAATGCTCACGAGAATCGGGCAAAATGTAAAATCTATAGGAGCGACTTGTTGTACATTACGTTGAATGATACGCATAAGCGCCATGAAATTCCTGGCGCTTATGACGTTTTGGTCGCGAAAAAACTAATCCGTAATGCAAACTAGCGCTGCATGTTTTTATAGTTTGGTTAGACGACGTAACTATTATTTTAGCGCTACAGCGAACTTTAGTTTTAACTTTTACCAAAATAAAGCAAACTTGTGTTTTTTTTTATAGGAACGGGTGACAAGCGAGCACACAGTCTACCTGATGGTAAGTGGTTGCTGTGGCCCATAGACATCTACATCTATCCTCGTTTGCGAATCAAAATGAAGATGCGTTGTCAGCCTTGAGGACTAAGATGGAATGCCTCTTTCCCATTAAAAAGGGTCTCCGGTTCTCTACACTCACCATACGAAATACAGCAGCATCCAGCTGCTATTTGACGCTGGTATTCTGTGAGAGCGTGCTCCTTCCCCGGTCGAGCCGACCCATTCGTACTACAACTATATAATATAGCTGCAGCATGACTCTACCACGTAAAAAAGGTTAGGGTAGGTAAGGTAGATTCGGGGTATCTGTTCTATTAGTAATATAGTTATAGTTCGATGCACATAACAGATTTTCAAATATGTATGTTTGTAAATCGGTAGTGTACAGTAATAGGTACAACATAGCCGGGTGACAGGATGAATCCTGGCAACAGTATTTGTTAAGTATATATTTTTTAATACTGGTATTTTCTTTCAGATATTTTGTACAACTAATACAATAATATTATTTCAGACGACGTCGGAACGGAATACCACAACTTGTGATTGAAGACGCACAAGAAAACGAACAGTTTAAAGTTGATGGGGGCAGAGTAATTCACTTCGTGTACCTTTATGAGGAATTGCAAAAAATACCAAATACTATTCACCACTAGGTTGTGATTTCAGTCATTTATAACTTTTAGAAGAACAAAAGAAAGGTTTCTACTCTGAATATACCTTTCTCTGCAAAATGTGTAGTATGAAATTACATGTGAAGAATCTTAACGAGACAGCAGTGTCTAGTTTTATGTCGATAGGAGTTGAGTTATGCAGGATTAGAATAAGAATCAGCTTCCTTTTCGGGAGCGTTTCAAAAATACTCTGTTGCCTTTGTTGCCACGCGTCGCAGGCGAGTTGGCTACCATTTTTCATTAATTTTATTAAAATGAAAACCAGTATGTCATATACATTTGTATTGTATCAAAAATTCTTTTATAATGCATAACATGAAAATTATGGTGACAGTACCTAAGTGTCACTACAAGTATAGGCTATAACTTATATTGGTACTTAAATTCTTTGACCAAATACTTAATAAAAAATTTGCCCTGACTTTATTCACCCTGACTTTATTGTGTAAAAAGTCAGCATGTCTCACACACTTTATTTCAAAATATTTGAGATTTAAGATATAATCAACTAATTTATATGATTTTCTTATCTTATCTATCTATTCTCATTTATAAATTAATTTAAATTAAAAACACCATATTGACAACTACAATAACACAAAACTAGTTAGTGAGCTTTATATGCTAGCAGTATAGGACCACACATCTCAGATCCATGTCATCACTGGCAACACACACTGGTTGAATAAATTGTAGATCTTTGCAATTAGAAAATGCAATACCTTACATAACCCGCTGTTGTTATGTGCGACATTTTTATGTCATTTTTATGTATAGGTGTTCAGATACCCATGATGCTATCTAATTTTCAAACTCTTGAAATGATGGAGGTTGATACTCAACAAATTTTGTATGAAAATATTGATATTTGACTCTAAATTTTGTATGTTACACTCAATGACCTTCACTAAAAACAAATGTGGTGTATGTATTTAAGTAAATGATACATTTTCGAACCTTACATTTGCAGAATAATTTTTACAATGTCTATAGACACAAGATGGCACTTTAACTTGTAATTAATTGTTTGCACTTGATATACTAGTGTAATGACACTAAATGAGGAGCAAACATTCAAAACGTGTTTTGTCCCATACATCTTTTTTTAGTTAGCAACATTGATATATTTTTTTTATAAAAGGAATAAAAATAGTGAAAGGCGATTCAAACAAAAAATGTTTTATCTTTTACAAATTAGCAGACAAAACTCACTTTTTAAACAAATGGTGTTTGCTCCATAGCTGTCAAACAATCAGATGATGATTTGTCCCATCAACCAATAAGAGACCGGCGGCCGTTTTGACGGTTAATGACCAAGCACGTCTTGAATGTACCTTTCTTGATGGAGCTCTCGGAACAATTGATTTGATTGATGAACGAAAAGGATATAATGGACTTGCTGATATTTCGTTTAAGCATCAGTGAATATTTACTGACCGGTGCACCAAGAGCAGTATCAGAAAGAACTGGCCCTGAATATGCTGAAATGCCGTCTAGTTCAAATTACCGACCGAAGGCACTTCCCGGTCTTGATATCCAATTAGGCGGGTACAATCACTAGCCAACTTTCGAGGATCTAAAACAGCCTCGACGCTGCCGAGCACTTAATTGTACCAGCAGGTTACGCTGTCGTTGTACAAAGTGTGATATTTACCTCTGCCTCACCAAAGACAGAAATATTTTTTTTTAATTCCACAAATCTAAGTTTCTTATTATTATTGACGAGATTTACCTTATGTTTTGAAACTTGTAAGGCTGATAATTTTTAAAAGATAAGAATTTTTTTAATTTAAGTTCTCATTAAAATTTAAAGTATGTTTTAGAGTAGATCGAATTTAAGTTTTATTATGAGCAAAGACTTTTTTAGTATTTGCAAGACTGATATCATAGTTGTAAGCTGAAGGGCTGATTACTGTTAAAAGAAAAGATATTTTTAATAAAAGTGGATTTTGCATGTGAAATTTTGCACTGTTACTTATCAAAAAGTAAATAAAACGTATTATTTTAGAGTAAGAAGTTTTATTTAGGTTTTTAATAAAAAATAAAAAGTCTATTCTTAATTACAACTATGTGTAACTTTCTAATTTACATATTTCTTAGGCCCGCCGTAATACATTTGTGACTATACACAAATGAGCGGATGTAAGGTTAGGCCCGGACCTATACAATTGTGACACTACACATTTGTATCATTCCTAGAGCGGGCCTGATTTAATATAATTGTTGGAAGCAGAATTTTCCAAGATGGCGTCCGGAAAATGGACTCCAGTTTTAACATCTGCGGACCATTTTTTGGTAGATATAACTTTTTGTTTGTTTGAGTTTTGCCTAATTCAGCCGCCGGTCCGAAAGGGATATGACCAATTTATTATATCAAGGGAATAAATATATATTGGGACTGCAAAATTATTAATACCCTTAATGAGTTTGCGTAAGTTTAGGTGTTAAATAGCTCCTCCCTATTGACGATTCGCTTGACGACTCGACTATCCTCAGACGTAAGTCCTTCACTCCTAGCCGTATGATGAAGCTCAAAGTCATTCAGCGAGTTATGGAGACGGCTAAGCTCGGGGTTTCCCCGCGTGATTCACTTGGGAATGAGGATATCCGAAGTAGAACCAGAGTGACCGACCAGTCCATATATAGAGGTCAGTGGAGGAAGTCCAGACACACTTCGAAAAAAATATATTATGTTTATATAATTATTGAAAATAATGTATCTGGAAAGGAAGCTATAATTGCTGTAATTGTTTAGTTGGTAGAAGAAGAGTTGCGTGCTGTGCACATGTTATGACGCTTGTGTGGTACCTTGGGTGGGCCAGGCATCAGTCGACAATATCAGCGCCAGCAGGTTCCTTGATGCTGTAGTTGTTAGAGAGGATGATGAATAAAAAGTATTATGGCATATTTATTTCACTAAAGTACTCTTAAGTTTTACCATTACACTTCATTTACTCCCGTAACCTACCATTACTCGATTTTTCAATACATGTGCAACTTGAGTATTGAAGACTGAAAGACAGTAGGTATCTAGCGACATACTCTCTTCAGCTAGAATTGAAGTAGTCAAACCACAAAAAAGCCTTGAAGTCTTTCAGGAAAGACTTCACGTGTGATAATAATTATGCCATCATTGTTTTTTACACCACACACTGTGCAAGTTAGACCAATATATGTGTAGTTTTCATTGAATTGTCGGTTATAATCTGTCGTCAAAACGGACCAGACTTCACGAGACGGCTTGACAGACGGCCCTTTTTGACATCGAACTCTAGGAGTATGATGGATAGACGTAGTATTACATTAGAAAAACCGAAATAAATGGAAACGAGATCGCTAATTACCTCCTCACTTATCACTAACTACAATTTTAGGCTACGTCGGAGTCGGGTAAAAGGTAGTTGTTGATTCTAACCTCAAAAGTATTTTGACGTTATTGTTTGACTTAAAAAATCGTGGCTATCTAGATATGATTTTTAACGTATTGGTGTTTACAACATAAAAACAAACCAATCTAACTATGGTTTGTTTTGGGTCATGAAAAAAAGTCATGTCCAGCTCCTATAGAAATTTGGCCATTGTACTTTAAATTACTTTGTCTTAACTTGTAAAATTATGGCATTTTCATATCTTAAGTGTAATATAAATTTTTCAATGAATAAAATAAACTATTTAATTACAATCCACTACAATTATAAAGAATATTTGCAAATTTAATGGACAAAAATAATGTTTATTTCTCCAGCTATCTCTTACGGGTTAATGTATATATACAAAACATTTTCAATTTTAGTATGTTATTTCTCATGAGGATTAATAATAATAATTTTGAATATAAATTAACACTGAAAAATCTAATTCTAATTTCAAGTAATCCAATTACAGCAAGTGCTTATAAAATGAAAATCTTTTCAGTTCATATAGTGTATGTGATATAGTTTTTTTTTTTGCTATTTATTTCCCCTATTTCCACTATTCCCCTAAAAATTATGTAGGGTTGTCTCATTTTAAACCATTAAATTATTAGAGTACGTTCAGAGTAATTATGCTATATGTAGGTAGATTAATAGATTTTTGAAGGCGCTTAAAATATATATGTGTTTTAAGACAGAAAATAAAAACAAATTTACTTTCTAATTTCTAATCAGCCTTTTAATTGCACATGAGAATTATAAGTAATAAGTATATAGTAATCAAATTTTTTGCCAATTTAGTTATATAAAGAGACGCATTACAGTAAGGGTCTTACATCCAAACTGAACAATTCAATGGATGTTTATAAATAATTAGAAGAGCCCTTTTATGTACTTAGTCCGAATCATTCATTAAATCCTTCAGAATTTCTGAATCGTTTTTGTAATAAGATGGTTTCCGCGACTTCGTTTTCACTTTCAAACCACTTGTGCTTGGTTGGTCAATTTTAGTCTTTAAAATGTTTAAAGGAGTATTTTTAGAAACAGGTTTCATCGGTAATGGTATTTTATTTTTCATGTTAATAAAATACTCCTGCGATAATTTTTATTTTATCTCACCTATCTTCAGTACATAAAGCTTTAGGTTTAGACGGAGCCTGTTCATGTATAGTATCGTCAATCAATTCTAAGTTACCGCTGAAATATAAATCGTCACATTGTTGTGAATTGTCGTCTCGCGGAATCTCAACTTCTTCCCCGAATAATGTAATGTCTTCAAACATTACGGGCATCGTTTCTATATCTGCAACTTCTATTCTATGTATTGTTTCCGTATTTGCAACTTCTATTCTAGGTATTGCTTCTGTATCTGCAACTTCTATTTTATCTTTTCGGTTCCATTTATGTCTTGGTCTTGTTTTTTTAGTTTTTTTCCCTCTTCCCTTGCCTTTCTTTGTCTTTATGCATGTTATTGTAGTCGTTTCAGCAGTTTTTATTTTCCGTGTATTTTCAAAATTATCCTCCTCTGTGTCCACATATTCTTCAGTTTCAGTGCCAACACTTTTCCTGGAATTATATCTAATTTTCTTTTTCTTTCTGATTCGGTTACATTTATAGTACCATATCTTATTTCTTTAAGAATATCAAGATTTTTCCACAGCATCTTCTTTGTTTTCGTTATTATTTTCCTCAGGTAACCTACCCAAAACCTGATTTTCATTAACGGGCCATATGATTGTTTTCTGAAACCTGCCAAAATATTATCTTTGGCATTTTGGTTGAGATCAATAATAAGTTTTTTCAAAAGCTTTGCTTTTTCGAACCGATGCTTGTGTTTTTCCATCGGTTTTCATCCATTTTAAAAGAATGTTGCGCCACGCAATCTTCATCGGACGGAAAAATGCCACATCTAATGGTTGTGTCAGATGCGTACTATTTGCTGGTAAAAAAACAAACGTAATGTTCTCTTCATGACACAATTTAATCACATCTAATGACAGATGCGAGGATAGGTTATCACCTATGAGGCACTTCTTCCCTTCTTTACCTCTAAAATAAGGCAACGCGATTGATTTTATCCAATCCTCGAAAATATTTGCATCAAGCCATCCGCTTGCCGACCGATTATATCGTGTTCCTGGTGGCCCATTTTCGGTCCAAGTATCATAACGGTTTTGAGCCTTGTAGACTCCATATGGTGGCAACAATTCACCGGTGGCACTAGCAGCTATCATCACAGAAGTTGATACCTTTGAATGATTCATCACTCTCTCAGGGTACTTCTTTCCCCGTTTTGTTAGAATTTTCGTGCGACCCGGATCGTCGGTTAGATTGGTTTCGTCAAAAAATGGTTTGTCCACCTTGTTTTCGCATTATCCTTGTACTATGCCTATACAAGACTGACTTATCTATATTATACTTTTCAGCTACAATCTTTAACTACATTTTCGATTTTCTATATTCTTCAACGACTTGTTATATTATAGATTCATCATACTTTTTGTATTTTTTTCCTCTTGGGTCTGGCTTATACAAACGAGGCATTTTATACCTACCTATAACAAAAAAAAAAATAATGTAAATTATGCATCTTATAAATGTACCTATGTAAGTATCTTCATTGTTAATAGGGATTAAGCAATGTGACAACCCTAGTAAGACCTTTTCTAATCACCCCTTTCTTGTTTTCATTAAACCCTTTCCCGTGTATATTTACCCCATTCGTCGTATCTATTGAACCCATACTACGTATCTATTCGCCCCTTTCCCGTTTCTATTAACCTCAAATCTAAGTAAAATCAAACAACAATTAAATTTTCTTCAATAGCAATGAATACAAATCAAAATTGTACTTACTTGTATAAATAACTTGATCTTGATAAACTAAGGAACGCTTTATATAACTTATATCACACAATATTTCGTATTTCCTATATAAAACCACAAACTTTATGGGAGGTAAATTTGTCACCGTAGGGCGGTTGATATTTGAACGTATTTTTTCTAACTTTCTCCTAACTTCATGGTGACCCGGAATTGCCATCTTATAAAAAAATGTTGCCGTTTTAAAAAAAAACTAGTAACAGTTTTATTCCAAAAGACTGGAAGTCGGGACAAAATAACTTTCTTGGTTTTGTCTCCATTCAACCCGCGATTTCTATTCACCCCGTTTTACGGTAGTTGAAAAAGTGTCCATCTGTAAGCAGTAAATAACAGTTCAAAAACTCTCCACTACAGCGCTCGAGTAGCTACGGGTTATGTTAAATCACCGTAAAATACCTTGAGAGTGATTTTGAAAATAAAATTTTTTAACGCAATAAAATAATTATTGTAAAAAGAATTATGGTGAAAGTCTGTGCAATAAAAAAAATCTTTAAAATTTAGACTGTAGCTACAGTGGCGCCACTCTTGTTTAACCCTTTCCTACGGACACTTTTTTATACCGATTCTGTACTCCATACCTCTACACTCCATAGTTTTATCAGCCGAATTATGACCTTGCGCATTTGTGACCAAGAGGCACTGCGATAAGTAATGACGTACTTGTTTACATATTTCTTGCAATATTAATGTTACTTCTGGATGAGAATCACGTTTTGTTACGAATCTTGGGATTTGTTTGTTGTAAACATAACATCACTTATTTTTATAAACGATATTATAGCATAAAACCTTTCTTTTCATTGGAACCAAAACGTTACTTCTGTTTACAAGTGACATTATTTTTGCAATGAATAGTATTTATATTATGACGGAATGTAAGTTTTGTATAGAAATGTTTTTTTGCTCCAAGAAACAAAAAACTACTCTTTTGTTAACAATGTTAATATTAATGTTGTACGAGTAGATATTTTATACCTTTTTGATTTTATATTGTCCAAACGAGGGTCGCTACTCTGTAATCTTGCGCGTCAATCCAGTGATAAACAAGTATTGAGTAAGGAATAGTGCTCTAAATAGGTCGTATAAGTTGCGAGGTGGTACCTCAGCAAGATAATAGCAAAGATAAAGAAAAAAAAAGCTTAATGGCAACCAAAGAACAGATAATGTCCAAACAACCACAGAACACGTAAAAACAGACTATGTTGAAAGAAATACAGAACAGGTTAAAGAAAGAACAGATAACGTTAAAGAAAGAATTAATTACGTCAAAGAGGGAAATATAACAGGAGAAACATCTCAGTCTGGACAGAGTATGCTTCGAATTTTTATGTTGTGTTATCATATTATTTTGTTTAATGCTGTTCATAATTATACCCTATATTTTTACAGATGACAACGAAACCAGTTCCAAAAGAAATCGATCGAATTTTTCTGCGATCGAGATAAAGATTTCGTACCGGAAAAAGGTCGTAAAAGAAAACTAATTTCATCATCAAACTCTTCTTCGTCATCAAGTTCGAGTACTATACCTATCTTCAAGCTCAGATTCAGAATCAAACAAATCAGCAAACTTACCTGAAACGCAAAACTAAAAAATACACAGTTACTTAATGTTTAGATTTTATATGTCATGCACCTAAAACATGTCTTTTAGAGATTTTTTGGTTATTTTATTAAATAATAAGTACAACTTTAATACAGGTTTGAGATACTAAAACACCATGCTACTGTCATGGTATCATACTATCATGATTATATTTTTGATAACTATTCAGTTTTACTAAGGTTTTATCAGTTATATAGTAACTTGAAAGTCATTTTCTGTAGTTTCATTCGAATGTACACTATTTTTTTTTTCATTTTGATGCCATTTGTTCGAATTTCAAATAAAAAATCTTGGAAATATCACCCATTTTTTTTAATTATCCTCCATTTTATTAACAAATAAAGTATTATAAAGGTTCTTCTTCTTTTTCTGCTTATTTAAGCTTATATATGTTACCAATCAAATAGAACTTAAATAAAAATATACGTAAACTAAAACTATCCTTAAATATAAAAAATACATTATTTCATGATTTTATTATTTTTTAAAAAGGTAACTTTCTGCAATAAAACAGTAAGCGATTTGTAACAAAAAGTCACTTTTGGTAGCCTTCCCTCAGTTTATGGCTTTTTTTTTCAGAAACTTCTCGAATTTTAAAAAAAAAATAGCCACGATTGTTCATGATGAACTAATCAATTCAGGACAATGAGAATCGCCTTAATACTCTAAAACGATACTATTAAAAAAACACATCAATTTTTTTATAATTCTTCTTCTGTAAAGTTGGAAAACATGCAGAAGTGACCCTTTGTACCCCAAGGTGCGATTTATTGTCTCTCATGTTCAATAACTGCAGTAGTGAACGTTCATTTTCGACATTCGAGAACACTATGAGCCAAGAACGCCTGAACTATTTCCCTCATTGTTATTGCTTAGAGAAATTGATACGGATAGTATTATCTCTAAATTTGCCCACACGAAATTTAAAAAAATTACTTTGTAGATGTTTATAAAGTAATAAAAGAAACAAATTCATGAAAATATAATATACTTTGTTATAAATAGAACCTTTGAAACATATAATAAAAAACATTTACATTTATTTGTTAATATCATCAGTTTTAAATTGTTAGTTTCTTGTCAAAATCATTCTAAATTACCAGAACAATCTCACGTCTGGCTTTTAGTACTTGCTATAGTCTAACAGAGCTTATAGTAAACTTGTTTACTATTAAACACCAACAAAATTGTAACCCATAGATGGAAATAAACTTATTGAGTATTGAATTGATTTTTATCACTTTTTACTTAAAAACATATAACAGATCAAGGGGTCCTCGATATAATTTGCAACGGGCTCCGCGCTTGCTTAATCCGGCACTGAGGCTGGTACTACTTTTGTATTTACTTTGGATTATAATGTTTTGCTAAAATCCTAGCTAAAATGTATTATAATGCTACAGCTATACCATACATGTACCATATGGGTGGCATGTAATAACCATATCAAGTTATATATCTTGTACAATTGGTCTTGTAAAATATATGTATCTCTTTTTTTGCCTTATAAATATGTAACAATCAAGGGTTTTAATTCTCCCGTATGCAAAAAATCCGTGAAAATTAATTAAGAATCAAAATCCTAAACCTAAGAAATCGTCTCTATGTTTGTTAACTAAAGTTAATAGATAAACAAAAGTTGATGCATTAGAAAAAATATAAATGCATAAAATTCATGGGCTAACCTTAAGTTTATGCACTATTCTCTACAATATTAAAATACGGAATACACTAGAAGGAATAACCTCTCTATCTATCTAGACTTCATAAGCCTGATACTATACCATGTACTTAAAATAAAAACCGACTTATTAAAATTCTTACCCGTATAAACAACTGCTGTATGTAACATATATGTAACATCTCCTCTGAGGACTGACCGTCGGTTTCATCAAAACGTTGCTGCGGCAGTGCTGTCAGGGATGTATTTATGTATGTAAGGCATAAAAGTAATCATTAAGTGATCGTGATCAGGGATACAAACGATACATCGAGGTTTGTAAAACATCGAGGTATAAATTACGGTTGATATTTTTTTTATTTGCCTAATTTAATGATGACAATAACTAATTTAATTTACCATCATGTTCATGTAATTCTTATTTTTATTAACGCTTAAGCGAGCATCAAACAGACTTATACCGAATAGAGCGACAGTATAATTTTTTTTACCCGACTGCGTAAGTAGAAGTGTTATGTTTTTCGAGCGCATGTATATATGTATGTATGACATAAAAATAAAATCTATTTTTTAATTACTTGTAAAAATAAACAATGTTTTTGTTTCTTTACAGATAACCAATTAACTATACCTTCCAATAAATTAAAAAGTAAAATTTGGAACTACTTTAAGAAAATTGGTTACAAGGAGGCTATTTGCAATATATGCAACAAGAGTCTTAAAACTTCTGGGAATACGACAAAACTTCGAGGTCATTTAGAAAATGTACATTCCCAGCAATTGGAAGATATTGATGTACTTCTCTTCTTCTTCTTCTTACTTGCTTTATCTCTTTATTTGGGGTCAGCTCTCCTCGTTTTTATGCGCCAAGATATTCTATCTTGAGTTGTCTGTGTATCAAGCTGTGCTCGTTCCAGATCCTTGGTTACGGTTGTCCACAACGTGGTTATTGGGCGTCTTCTGTCTTTCTTTTTCTCTGAAATTGCCACGGCCTTCCTCACCGGATGTTCTTCATCCCGCCTCATTACATGCCCATACCATCGCATACGACTCTCGCCCATCTTGTCTACAATGGGCGTAACTTTAAAGGAACCTCTGATGTACTCATTGCGCACTTTATCGAGCCTCGTTACGCCTGCTGACCATCGTAGCAAATTCATTTCATTCGTGTGCAACTTTTTTTCGTGACTCTTCTTGGCCGCCCAGCATTCCGCACCATATAACATGGCAGGTTTTACGGCCATTTTGTAAACCTTTCCTTTCAGTTGTATTGGCATCCTGCTATCGCAAAGTATTCCTGAAAGGACGCGACCTTAACCATGCTGCATTAATTGTGTGAGTTACGTCTGCGTCGATATTGACGTCCGCCGTTATCACTGAACCGAGGTATTTGAATTTGCTGACGCAGGGCAGTGGCTGACCGTCGATGGAGATATTTATGTTGGGCGCATATTGTTCACTGAAGCTGCACCTCAGAAACTCAGTCTTGCTCCGGCTGATACGGAGACCATTGTTCTCTAGAACCTGTCTCCATTGCTCGAGTGTGGCTTGTAGTTGAATCGCACATCTGTCGATGAGCACAATGTCGTCCGCATACAGCATACACCATGGGAGGGGGGACTGGATGTCTTTAGTTTTTTCTCGGGAGATTCTGATCCCTAGAGAACGCGTCCCCAGGTGGCGGATAGGGAAAAGCTCGCTGAGCGCTACATAAGGAGCGTCTAGAGGGTTGGGGTGAAATAAAATAGCCCCCGCGGATCAACAGGCCGGAGATGGACGCTCCGTATCAAACCCCTGCAGAGAGCCACATCGACATACTTGATAGTGAGATGTACATAAAAAATGCTGAAAGCTATTGCATCACATACGACATTTGGACCGAAACCATGCAAAACAAATCATTTATAGGTGTCACTATTCACTTTTTGGATAAGTCAGACCGAAAGCCATACGTCGCTTTACATTATTCAGAAACTTACCGATATTTTCACCGAGTGGAATGTATTCCATTGAAAAAATTTCAGTTATTACAGATAATGATAGCACTGTTATGAAGGCCAATCGGGAAATGTTTGGAGAAAAAAAATCATTCCCTGTTTTGCTCATACAATTAATTTAGTCGTAACAAAATCCATTGATGATTCAAACAATTGTACTGAGTTAATAACCAAAGTTGAAAGGGATATAGTTAAGTTTATAAAAAGGAGCGTCAATGCAAGTGACGAATTACGGAAGAGACAATTAGAGATGGGACTAAAAGGTCAATTAAAAAAAATGATACTCGATGTTCGCACAAGATGGAACTCTTGTTTTTATATGCTTCAACGGTTCATGGAATTGGTGTCCATTGTAGGATCAATACTTTTGACTCGACCTGAAGCTCCACTAATGGTCCCAAGCAGTGAACTGGATTGCATTAAAGAAATGATAGAATTACTATGCCCGTTTGAGAAATTGACAAAAGAGTTTTCTGGAGATAGTTACGTAACGGTAAGCAAAGTGATTCCGCTAGTTAGCTGTGTCCGTGAAGTACTAGAGAACATAAAACCAAAAAATGCAATAATACTTCAATTTAAAGAGGAATTAAAGAAACAATTAGCTAGAAGATTTGATACCCTAGAGCATTCCTCAATCCTAGCTATCTCAACTACTCTTGACCCCAGATTCAAGTTCATGCATTTTAAAGATTCAGTGGCCAAAAGTAAAGTATTTAATTACTTAAATAAATTTGTACGGGAATATAACAGCTCGCCTGGAGCTGCAACTGCAACAAGAAGTGACACCTCTGATGAATCTGATAAAGATGATTCTAAAGATGAAAAGAGAGGTACCGAAGGCATTCCGAACAACTACACACAGAACTGAATTTTCGTCTTTGTTTGGTTGGATGGGGGAGGAGTCTTAGTAGCGGTACTAAAAACTATCAAATCGGTTCGGAAGTTTGAATGGGAAAGTAAATGTGAAGACATTTGGGTGGTTTTGGATTTGAAAATTGAAAACTCTGTCACATCAAATAGCTCTTTGCAGTGTTTACTTGCCACCTCCGGTGAACAGGCTAATGTTGGAGTATTTTGTAGAAAATTGTACCTCAGTCATAACAAGTAAATTTGATTCACACCTGTGCTTTATTGGTGATCTTAACTTAGGTAATATAAATTGGAGTTTGGTACATGATTTGTCGAATAACTATGTTGCTCCTAGTCCAAGCCAAGCATTGATAGATTAAGTTCATCTTAACAAGCTTAATCAAATGAATAACATTCTTAACAAATCGGACCGCTTGTTAGACCTTATACTGACCAACCTATCATCGTCCATGTGTACAGTTGCAGGATCAGTTAATATCCTTAGTGTCGTAGATACTCTACATCCCCCCTCTCGAAATATTAATAAAAAGAAATACTGATACTGCACTACCGTATAACATCAATACTAAAATACACAATTTTAGGAAAGCCGATTATACTCAAATCCGCCTTTGTTTAGCCGAATATGACTGGAATGAAATGTTTCATAATCTGAATGATATAATTAATAATTTAATAAATAAATATGTGCCCTACAAAAAAATAAGAAATAATTCTTCTCCTCCTTGGTTTAATGTTTCATTAAAGAGAATGTTACGTGAAAAGGAGAACATAAGAAAGCGGTACAAAAAATATAGGAATCACATGGACGAGGTTGAGTTGCGGCTACTTAATAAGCGTTGCTGCACACTAGCAAATCAATCTTATAAAAATTATATAAAGAAGACAGAAGATAGTATTAAGTCGAACCCTAAACTTTTTTGGTCATTTATTAAGGCAAAGAAGTACGGGAAAATAATTATCCTTGTACAATGACTGATGGTATTAAGAAGTCATCTAGTCCTAGGGAAATCTGCGATTTATTTGCGTACTACTTTGGAGCTGTGTATAATTCTCAAGATAACATAAACTCAGACTTGAATGACAGCCAATGGAATTTGATTTGCAATTACAGCCTTGAACTAACTGCTCCCTACCTTAGCAAGGATCAGATACTGAAGAGCATGAAGTCCCTAGATCTTAATAAGGGCCCAGGACCAGATTGTGTCCCTCCTTTATTTATTAAGGCATGTGCGGATGAGCTAGTGACGCCTATATATCTAATTTTTAAGAAGTCTCTTCAATCCGGCCTATTTCCTGATGTTTGGAAGTCCGCCAAAGTTGTTCCCATTCACAAGGCCGATAACGTCGAGGTGGTAGGTAATTATAGGCCTATTTCAATACTGTCAATTTTAAGTAAAATATTTGAATCTCTTGTTTATCCTGTGCTGCAGAACCACTTTAATCATTATCTTACTGAGTGGCAGCACGGTTTTGTTAGATTTAGGTCAACCTGTTCCAATCTGACCTTGTTTACTGAAACTTTGGTAGAAGCAGTAGATAACGGTAGGGATGTTGATGTAATATATACAGACCTTAGTAAGGCATTCGACAAAGTACCTCATAATATTCTTATATCTAAATTGCGTGCATATGGTATTACTGGCTCATTATTGGGATGGTTGCAGTCGTATCTGGATAATCGTAGTTTTAGTGTGGTCGTTAATGGTTTTGAGTCTGCACCATACAAAATTACGTCGGGGGTTCCTCAGGGATCACATTTAGGTCCTCTGCTTTTCAACGCCTTCATCAATGACATCCCTAGTTGCTTCCAGTTCTCCATACCATTTATGTATGCCGATGATTTGAAATTGGTTGGCATCTGCGAAACTCTAGAGGACATCGAACAGTTTCAAAGTGATGTTGACCGTATGGTAAATTGGTGTCGAGACAATGGTATGTACCTGAATATAAACAAGTGCTACCATATGAAATTCAGTAGAAAGATCAAGTCACTGAACACATCATACAAAATTAACGGCCACATCATTAAGAAAACAGAGGAAGTCAGAGACCTGGGAATAGTGTTCGATAAAAAATTAACCTTCGTTCCCCACATCGAGAATATTACAAAAAGGGCGTATAGAATGCTAGGCTTTGTTTTGCGTAACGCTAAAGTGTTTAAAAATAATCACATTAAGATCCTACTGTACAATAGCCTACGTACGAAGCATACTTGAGTATTGCATTGTAGTATGGAGGCCACATTACGCGACACACTCCTTATGATTGGAACGTCTGCAAAAAAGATGTAATGGTAAAAACTGCAGACTTGATGCTTCATCAACGTTCCGGGAAGTCTGCAGTTTGTGATCATATCCTGGACGGCCCCAACCATTACATCAGATTTGATAGACCACAAATCCTCGCGAAAGAACACCGATTCCTACCAAGGATGATACGTGAGGCTATTGAAATTAAAAACATCCTAATTTCAATAGAGAAGGAGGCTGGGTACTACCACCTGCTTGGGATCCTATAATCAATAAAATTAAAACTAAACCCAAGCATACCACTGCAAGACCTCAAGACATAGTCAGTTCATTTTGCATAGATCGGACCATAAACAATAATTAAAAAAGCTGAAGGTACTCCGGGTTTAACAATGACATCGGGACGTCAGTCATCTCAGTCCCCCGTGACCATGGGTGCTGGAAAGCACCCGAAACGTCGGGAATTAAAAATAAAAGTAATTAAAAGCAAAAATAAACGCGATAAAATCCGTAAAAGTAGTTTTAATCATTGTGCAAATTGGTCAATGGATATAGTGACAAAATTGACATTCACGCCGACTCATTTGCCAAAATTAAGGAAGTTCTAGCTATAGCCTGGTCTGAAACCAACAAATAAATAATAATAGCTTTTACCACGTACTTTTTTCATTATTAGGTAATTTATACTTTTTTTTATTCGTATTTATAATCTTTCTCGATGCATGTGGTGTTTACCTTAAACGATTGTTACACTTAGCTACGTAAGTTAGTTCTTAAGCCATTTTGTTAAATACAGTATAATCAAACATTGGTAAACCTTAATAAATTAAAAAAAAAATATGTGCCAAAAAAGAATAAGGTTGTATTACTTTTGTCAACTGTACATAATGATGGTTGTATTGACGAGAGTTCTGGTGACAAACGTAAACCAGATATTATTACATATTATAATCGAACAAAGAATGGGGTAGACTTAGTGGACAAAATGTGTTCCTTGTATGATGTGGCCAGAAACTCACTGCGATGGCCGCTGGCTGTTTTTTTTTTAATTTGATGAATATAAGTGCCATAAATGCTTTATGCATATACAAAGCAAACAATGGACTAATAAAAGTATTGCGTCGAGAGTTTCTTTCTGATATTGCGTTGGGTATGATGAAACCTTTGGCTAGTAGAAGAATGAGTACTGATTGTATACCCAAGATCCTCAATCTTAAAATAAGCGATTTTTGGGTATTCCATTGAAAGAACAACCACAAGAAGTGGCGAGTTCTTTTCGTGGAGGCGCGCGTGGTCGCTGCTTTTTGTGTGGAAGAAAACGTAATAAAACCACGCGTATATCTTGCCAATTATGTGGGAAATTTCAACAAAAACATTCCGCTTGACAAAAACATTCCGCCTGTGGCATCGCTTCCGAGCGGTTGCATCCAGGTAGTCCGCGCTTTCGTTCCTGTACGGTAGTGCTCCCCGCTCTCGCGCCCCCGCTGTCCCGCTCGCGCTGTACAGCGCTGACGCAGTGCTCAGTCCGCCGGCGGCACCGCTCTCGGACGGTCGCCTCCTGGTGGTCCGCGCTCCCGTACAGTACGGTAGTGCTGTCGCGCTCTCACGCGCCTCCGCTGTCCTGCTCACGCGGAACAGCGTCGAGGCTGCCGGTGAGTCACTTTTGTGCTACAGCTCTTACCCCCCTGTCTTCGGGCAGGGAGGTCTGACTGACCTCCGCTTTCATTTTTTTTTATTTTTCATTTTCATTTTCTATTTTCATTTTCTTTTTCATTTTCATTATAATTTTTCAAATTTTTCAATTTTTTTTTTTTTTTTTTTTTTTTTGTACTTCTACTATTGCGTGCATAGTGTGTTGTAGTACGTCTCGCGTTCTAGTCCCTGTTCTACCGAGAGCAGGGACCCGACCTCCTCTTTACTAGATTATCTTATCTCAATCAACCCAATATGGCCAACTCCAGTCTTAGTGAGTCCCTAGCCGCCCTCATTACCCAATACGGGTTAAACGACAATGACACGGTCCTCGCCGCCATGGCCACCATCGCCGCCCAGGCTCCCCTCCCTGCCCCTCAGGCACACCGTCCACCGCCAGTACTAGCGGCATACCTCGAAACGAGGAACTCTTTTGCCCCTCTACAGACAGCCCCCCTTAGAAATGGAGTACGCATGCTCCGAATCCTCGGCGTCTACCTCTCGGAAGAGGCCCGCCACTACCCGAGGCTCCGGTTCATCGGAGTCCTCTGACTCCGAAGGTACCGATGAATCCAACTTCACCACGGTCACCTCCAAGCGCAACGGAAAGCGCGCTGCGATCAAACGCACCCCCCCTACTTCAGCGGCCCCTGCCGCTCCATCAACCTCCGCAGCTCCTGACGCTGCCCCCCGTCCCACTGATGTCGCTAGACATCCCTACCCCATCTAAACCAGCCTCTCGCTGTGCCCCAGTGCTGGCGAAGAACCAAGTCCCGCCTCCTGTCTTCCTAAGAGACAAGGCTAAATTCACCCAGCTATCCAAGACCTGCTACGACGCAGGCATCAAATATGACCATGCAGTCAACCTCGCGGAGGCCATTAAAATCATCCCTAGCTCCATCGAGGACTTCCGCTCAATTACCCGGCTATTCACAGCCGAAAGGGTATCCTACCACACGTACGCTCTCCCCGAAGAGCGTAAAGTCAGGGCCGTCATCCGAGGCGTCCCATTTGAGTTCTCCAACGAGGAGATACTTGAGGACCTTAAGTCCCA